ATAAAAGGCCAAAGGATTTGAATAGGGGGTGTTTGTATTTTCTGGGGCATTGTGGTATAACTGAAAGTAGGAATTTCCTGGACTCAATGAAGATCTGGGATTCTGGCTTCTTGTTGCTGTCTCTCTAAGTATGTTTCTGCCTTGTAAATGATGGGCTCTCAACAGGACAGGCGTAGCATGTAGTTCCTTCACTAATATAGCAGTGAGGCATGTTAATGACCAAAGAACCTTAGACTCTACACATGGTATGTTTGTTTGTTGAACATCTGATCCTTATGCTTCTACCCCCCCCAAGCCCCACCTTATCTTTTTTTTAAATTCAATTTGAGACATAGACAAGGAAAGAGAGAGAGGGAGAGAGAGAGAGAGAGAGAGAGAGACAGAGACAGAGACAGAGACAGAGACAGAGACAGAGACAGAGAGGAAGATGGAGAAGAGGAGGGAAAGAGGGAGTGTTGGATGGATTGATGAATGAAGAGAAGGAGATAGAGATACAGATATCTAGATCCTACTTAATGGTAAATGTGTCCAGTCCTTCTTATGAATTTGTTGGATCTTCTTAACCACTACTGCCCAATATAGAATACCAGACATGTATGTAACTTTAAATTTTCTAGCAGCCACACTTTTAAAATTGATTCAGATAGACATGGAATTAAGTTGAAGGTATTACATAGGATTCAGGGTTCAAACATTGTGACTTTTTGAACGTTCAGTACACACACACACACACACACACACACACAAAGTTGTTGAGATCACTGCTAGATCCCTTAGAAGAGAAATGAAGCCCAGAATCTTTTAGGTCTCTGCATATTTCACGTGCCTGGCCAGCCACTTGTGGCTTATTGTTCTGTATTAGTTACTGTGGTTTTAGAGACTTGGAGCCTTTTGTTCTCTTTATGCTAATGCTGGCTGCAGTTTGTTGCTTGCAGGTCTCCTATTAGGGCACTGTATTAAGGATCTCGTTTTTATTTTGATGGTTAGAGACATTGGGCACTGGCCCTAAATAGGCACACATAGTATATTAGTATCATGCTATTTTGTTGTCTTAAGCACTGTTTGGACTTAAAGCGAGTAGGAAGTAGGAATCTTTTTTCCCTCTTGTGTTTTTTAAGGTAGTATTTGGCTTTCAAGGCCACTTTCTTTCCTTTTTTTTTTTTTTTTTAATTATAATTTGAAACAAGCTTGTTTTACATGTCAATCCCAGTTCCCTCACCCTCCGCTCCTCTCCTGCTCCCCCAACCCCCAACCCATCCCCTTTCTGCTCCTCAAGAAGTGTGAGGCTTCCTTGGGGGATCTTAAAAGTCTGTTGCATCATTTGGAGCAGGGCCTAAGCCCTTCCTCTTGTGGCTAGGGTGAGATCGTATCCCTATGTGGAATGGGCTCCCAAAATCCATTTGTATACTAGGGATAAATACTGATCCACTACCAGAGGCCCCATAGCCTGCCCAGGCCTCCTAACTAGCACCCACATTTAGGGAATCTGAGAGGTCCTATTCTAGTTTCTAGCTATGAGACTGGGGTACATGAGTTCCCCTTGTTCAGGTCAGCTGTTTTTGTGGGTTTCTCCAGCATGGTCTTGACCCCTTTGCTCATCACTCCTCCCTCTCTGTAACTGGACCCCAGGAGTTCAGCTCAGGGTTTAGCTGTGGGTGTCTGCTTCTACTTCCATCAGCTATTGGATAAAGGCTGTAGGATAGCATATAAGGTAGTCATCAATCTCATTATGGGGCAAGGGCATTTAAGGTAGCCTCTATACTACTGTTTAGATTGTTAGTTGGGGTCATCCTTGTAGAACTCTGGACATTTCCCTAGTTCCAGATTTCTCTTTAGATCTATAATGGCTCCCTCTATTATGGTATCTCTTTTCTTGCTGTCCTCTGTTCTTCCCCTGATTCAATTCAAGGCCACTTTTTTAGTTACAGTTAAAGTGACTTGGCTCAGCATGCACTAGGCTCCAGGTTTGATTTTCAGCACTAATAAAACATAAATGACAACAGAATTGGTAGACAGTGACATGAGGACCAATGTTCAGGGGCAGCCATCCTCTGGATTTATGTGGCTGAGAAAAATACTTGGCACAAGTCTTCCCCATATTGTGCTAACCAAACAGCAGATTCTAAACCCCTAGTTCAACCTTTTGTGATCCTTCCATACACTTATATATGCATACATTTACATGTAAATTACTAAATATAAACTAGATGGCCTCTCCAAAACAAAGACATGCAAATCTTGATGTAGCACACAGCTTTGCAGAAGTAGCTTGCTGTCAACATGTTAAGAAGATTTCTGCATTGTGACTGTGGTTATCCTCACAGGGGCTACTCACTGGTATGTGTGCCCCATTTTATAGATCATGACACAAGACCAAAGGGATATGAGATTTTGTAAAATGCTGGGATTCAGATCTAGGCTTGCAGCTATAGAGGCGTCTTGAGACTTAAGGGAAGATACCTTTCCTAGTGTACATCTTCAGTTTATTTATTTATTTATTTGTTTGTTTTTGTATGTGTGTTTCAAGACAGGGTTTCTCTATGTAACAGCCTTAGCTGTTCAGGGACTCACTCTGTAGACAAGGCTGGCTTCGAACTCACAGAGATCCCCCTGCCTCTGCCTTTCAAGTGCTGGGATTAAAGGTGTGCAGCACCACACTCAGCGAGGCTGTTAATATACACTTGCTAGATAGTACCTGAGCCATCCTGTGAACTGGTTGTGTTCTAACTCAGTGTCTTCCCTTTCCTCCCTTTAACATAAAACTGCCCTGGCCACTTTTACAGATTACACACACCACTTGAAGCATCTAGTTTTTACTTATGCAAATTTGTGCCTAACTTGAATGGTACACTATGTAGTGATATACTTAGTGCAAAATTCCCTCAAGTTCTTCTTATTAGAAGTTTCTATGTCTAACAACTCAGGTAGGCAATGAGAATGTGACATAGCACAGGAAAACCAATATTTAATGATCTTCATGTAAATTTGTGACTATATTTCCATAGGTTGGCTACTCTATTGCCATATAAGAGAAAACTTTATAGAGGCAGTGCAAACAGACCACCATGACCTCCTTGATGCCGTATCCATTCAGACTAACATTCAATGCTCATTTTAAACCCATTTCTAACTATGCAGTCTAGTTCAGCTATAGTCAGGTCCTGAAAATGTTGACTGGGGCTGTTTTGTGAGGAGCTTTTTTATGTTCTTTTCCATGGCTAGATATTGCACCTAGTCAAAGCTTACTCATCACTGCTGACACAAAATGCCAGGGAAATAAATTAAGTACAAAAAAATAAAGAAAACATTTACTACTATCAGAAGACTTCTACAAGTCACATGTGTCTGATTTTTTTTTTTAAATTGTAGGAGCAGAGGGAAAGAACAGTAATTCTTTTGTAAAATTAAATGCAATGATGAATATATCTGTTTTTACCCTAATTATAGTATTTAAATTACTATTTAAGTGGATTGGGTGAACCCATTTAAAATAAAAGATGCCAATATTTATTTGTGTTGTAAGTTTAGCATCTCACTATTTCCCCTTACTGTGATACATGAATTCCTTACAAGACACATTGCCTAGTGCAGAGTATAGCAACACATGGCCTATTATTCCACAGATTTCTGAAGCTTCTGTTGATGCTCTTATTACTTTTCTGAGTGAAAAGTTGAACCCATAGTATTACAGTGGTTTTCTAGATTGTATTAGGGAGGAAATAGGGGAAAGTGGGATGGCATTTTCTGTGCTTCACAGCACTGACGTCCTCTAGGAGTTTGGGTACAGTCTGGAATCAGAATCTGTTTTCAAAAGATCCCAGATAATTCAGTACATTTAAGGGGTGAGGTGCACTGCTTTGTTCTGCAGAATCTATGTTCATAATCCCTCCAGTCTCATGCCTACTAGGGAAGTCCTAAGAAAACCATTGTTGTAAGTGAATTAACTGGATCTAATATGACTAGGAAACCAAACTGATGCTTTATAAATTCTGATTATATGGCCTAATACTGTGGGTTTCAAATATGTTAGTTTTGTGTTTTCTACTTTTTGGCTAAGAGTCCTTGAGTCATCTGAGCATGTTGTCTATCTCTGTTGTAACTTTGGGCCCAACCCCTTTCCTGCCAGGAGACCAAGAGTACTGTTATTGCTTTGATGAATATTGTTTACTCAGTGGACTTTTGTGACAGCTGGGCCTGATTATTTTATTAGGTTCTTGACTGACCCAACTTAAACTGAAAGACAAGTCATTAAAGGTGAGAGCTTGTGAGGCAGCAACTGAATCCGATAATGTGGCTGTAATCATTTTCCTTTCCCTTCAATATTTCTCTAAGTGGATTTAAAAGGCAACAGGAGATTAAACAGATTTTGCTCAAATAAAAATTCCCTAAGCAGGAAATAATAGTAATGTGCATTGTTGGAGAATGGAATTCAAGCATAGCTATGCTCTAATAGTTTGTTCATCTCTATTTTGGGAGACTAGACTGGGGTATGCACACTTTCAGACTTTCTAGACAGTGAGACTTGGGGCCAGGTCAATGTGTTTCTTCTAATAGGGCACTCATATTCTTTTATTAATTAGTTGGAAAAATGTCCAACAAATGTGGATCAAATGTAGGATGAAAGGAACTACCAGCAAAATAAGGACCACCCAGAAGACCTCACTACTAATGGAGCACATTTTCTACTTTATAAAACAGATCTGATCTGGCAGATTTTCTGTGTATAGTTTGATTTTTCCCTTGTTTATCAGCCTTTCAAAGTTTTATCTCAAGTAGTATATGGTCCGATGTGTAGTTTTAATTTTCAGAAAACTAGACTAATTTCATAGACTTTCAGCAATTTGACTTTGAGTCTGATGGTGACTGCTTGGAAGAAAATGGTGGATTTTATTGGTTTGATATAGAGTATCCCAAATAATGAATATTCGTGTAGGATTTTGGAATGTTACTAAGCATATTAGGTTTAAATTAATTTTTCTCCTTTCCTCTTTCTTGAACAGGTTGTCAAGTTGCTTAGCAACAAACGATCACAAGCAGTAGGAATTCTAATGTCTAGTCTTCATTTAGATATGAAAGACATACAACATGGTAAGTGTAAAAAATTAAAACACAGTCATTAAATATTAAAGTTGGGCTAAATTTCGTGATGTTTGCTACAAAGTTCTATTCAGGCAGTTAGTTTATTTCCTGTAACATTATATATGATTCATGCTTCTTTTCCTGCTAGGTTATATTAATGTTATTTTCCTGACTTTTTAAATACCATGTTAAAGGTCAAATTCTCACATGATGTTTCTATTCTGTTCTTTTGTGGTCATACAATGGCATAGACTGGGTAGGTAGCTTTTAAACTGAAGACCGTGTTCCTTATGGTTATAAAAAGTGCAGTGTGAAGACGAGGACTACAGCACAGTTAGGCTTTGGTGAGGGCCCTGCCCTGGATTCAGACAATCATTTTCTGCTTGTATTCTACTTGTGGTAGAAAGTAGCCATATGAGTGTCCATGCATTTTGTTCATAAGGAAACCAATCTTATTCCCAAGGGCTCCATTCTCAAGGTCTAAGGTGTCTCATAGACCCTCATTCCTGACACCAAGACATGACAGGATGGGGTGGGGGACTAGGGTTGCAATACACAAAGAGTAGGGTTACAAACATTCAGTCTTTTGCAAATATACTTAGCCAGTTGTTATAAAAATTTAGATTTTATATCATACAAAGCGTGGATCCTGCTAGCTCTGTAACTAGTTAGATCATATCTGAATGCCACCATACAAAAGCTACTAATAAATGCTAATGTGAACCAGATAGTGGGTCTTCTGACTATTAAAACTGTCAAGAGGAGAAGGACCCCAGGGAGAAGAGTTAGTTGAGTCTCAGGTGCTTGATGGTTAAGCCTAAAATTCTAAACCAGATCAGTGCCACCCAGCGTGAGAGTCACAGAAGTGCTTGTTGCTGTGGTTCTCTTAAGGATGATTTTGGGATTAGAGATGGCAATTAGGGAATAAATTGCTGTGTTTAGTGATGAACTGAAAACAGGTGTTTTTAAAAGGCTGAGTGACCATTTGTCTATGAGATGTATTTAAAACATTGGCTGGAATACTGAGCACATTCCCATAGGTCCTCATGTTCCAAGAGTCTGCAAGATGATGAAAGAAAAAAAAAAACACTTAATTTTGCATATGACTTTCTGGTAGAAAATTGGTCATTTGTTTCCCAGGCATTTGGAGTAACTATAGCAGAAACCGCAGGTTCCTTTACTATGGAGAGATAGGATAGCTTTATTTATGTATGTACCGATTAACTTTATTATTGGGGTATGTGTTTGCACATGTGTGTGCAGGTGTCTGTAGTGGCCAGAAGAGGGCATCAGATCCTTTGAAGATAGAGTTAAAGGCATGGATGAGCCACCTGAGCTGGGTACTGGGATCCAAACTAGGATCCTAATGACAGAGCAATCAGCATGCTTAACCACAGATCTATCCTCCCTGCCCCTGAAGGGCCTTTTCTAATAATCAGCAAAGGTGATTATCTTCACTGCTTTGCATTATTGACGATGATGTCTAGAATCGTGGAAGCAATTAGTTCTTTTATGTTGTTTAGTGGGCTTATGGGTTATTTTGCATGTGGAAATTGGCTGATTTGTAACACTTTTCTAAATGGCTTTGGTGTCATTATTGTAATGCACTTTACCTTATATTTGACAGGTATTCCTATGCCTGGGCTTCCTATCACATATATGCTGAGTGTTGGTCCAAAGATGAATAGAAGAATTAAATAGTATTTTGAATCTCCTTTGTGCTGCCGAGAGCCTTAGAATATATTTAAAGCAGATCGAGTTATTCAAAGGAATGCCAGTTTACCTATTAAAAAAATATGGTTCCAAGTACAAGAGAGAGCTTATAAATCATGAAAATAGTTACTAGCTTTCTAGTTTGCTCATTTGTGAATGCAGGTTCTGTTTGTCAGTCCTGAAATATCATGGGGTATAATTCATAAATAGCACTATTGTGGCATGCCCTGTCAATTGATGAGTAACTCTTAATCAGGATTTTAGTTTTTATTAAATTGTTTTGATGCAGAGGAGGCTTCCTTGGGCTGAGACATTTGGGGTAATAGTCACAGAAAAGAATGCCAAGGCTGGCGCCAAACAGCACTTGCTGTTTCTGAAACTGGCAGATGTAGCCCAGTTAAGTCATAGGATGAAATCTGAAAATAATGATATGGTCTTTTCCTTCAGTCAAATATTCAGCTCGGGTTGAACTAATAATGAGAACCTTATGAACAAAGGAGTCCGCCTGACATCTGTGTCTGTGGTACAGCCAGCGAGAGTTCATTGAAAATTTGCTTGCTTAACATGCAAGTCGAACAATAACATGGCGTGAACGTCAGTAGTGGAAGGGTCACACAGAATTATGCATAAGCCTTATCCTATTAGGAGGGAAGGGAGTGCTTGAGTCCCTTCAAAGCCCTGCATATCCATTCTCTCAAGTCTTGACTGCCTGCACATCTGGACAAGGAAGCAGCGGTACCTGTTTGCCTGCCTCAGGGTTACTGTAGGGTGGAATCTCAGAAAGCTCCTACAGTACACTTCACTTCTAGGATATACCTCCACTGAGAAGTCTATGGAAATATAACCATTGTTGATTTGGGATATGAAAGTGACTACAAAATTTATCCAGACCTCCAGCATCAGATTACAGAAGAAAAGACTAATACATTTTAGTGGGCTAGTTTTTGTTGTTGTTTTGTTAATGTTATATGGTTCATTACTGAAGCAGATTATGCAAGAACTCAATTCTCTTCATCATCTTTTACATCAGATATGCTTTAAAGATTATCCTAAACTATCAGAGTGGGCATTTTCAGGGATGACATGCCACAGAGTCAGCTTGGCCATCCCAAGACTTGCTTTTATCTACAAAGCAAGTTAGAAGTTGGGAGATAGACTCACCACTGCCAAAAGAATCTCATAACTTTTACATACAGAGAACCCTGCCTCATCACACTTAGATTTCCTCCCCCCTTATTCACCCCCCCCCACTTCCATCAAAACACTAGGAAATCTAGAATCGCTTTTGCTTTGTTAAGATTCTAATTTGAAATGCCTTGTTAAAATGACAAGAGTAAGATTGGCATTCTAGATGCCAAGGTCTAGTCATGGCCTTAAAAATTTGTATTTATATATTAATAGCTTTGAGCGTTTTGTGTTTTGCTTGCATGTCTGTGTACTTTGAAAGCCTGGGGCCCAAAGGATGGGAGAAGCAAGAAGATCCCTGGTAACTGGAGTTATGGAGAGTTGTGAACCATTTATATGTACTTGGAATTGAACCCAGTGTCGCTGCATGAATATCAATTGCTTTTAGCTGCTGAGCTATTCATCCAGGCTCTAATCATAGTCTTGCTACCATCATTCACTGTGTCTGTTCTGCCGAAGGAAACAGGTGGGAAGAGTCTTACAGCATCTAAAGCCAAAGGCAGAAAGGAAAGAGGGAATCCATGTTTTTCTGTGTCCAGGCTCCTGCAAGTTTTCCTCTGACATCCACGTACATACCATAGCACACACAAATACATGTGAAAAATAGTAATATTAGATATAAGTGTAAAATGGAAATAAAATAAAAATATTATTCTGCTGCCTGATCAAACTGAAGCATGCTTCAGAGCTAATTTTCTTCCCACAATATTAATAAATTTTAAGAAAGTGTTTATAGAACAACAAGAATAAAACCATTTAAAATGCACTTTGTAAATGTAGGATTGCCTAACTTCTCCTTCTGACCTTTGAGGAAAGATTTATTCCCCACAGATACAAGCACATCACGGAGTGAGTGTCTATGACCCTTTAATCTGCACCAGACATTTAGAAATCAAACCCAGCCTATGTGTCTGGATCTTAAACCTCAGGCAACATCCTCAAATATCGAAGTTATGGCTCTTAGGAGATTCTTGACTCTAGAAGAAGGGAGTTTAGGTAAAAAATTCCTAAGAGATTTTAGCTAATCCCCATATTTTGAAAACTAGTCTCACCAATAAAAACCAATTGTAGACACTAGCATGAAGATTTTTGTAAAACATTTGGGTGGGCTTTGTGTTTTGGTATTTTTAAAGCATTAATTTAGATGAAACTAGTTGAATTTCTTCTGTTAGCTGGCTCTGGGGGTGCACTTTTCTTACATGGTGCTGGGCAACTATTCCCCAAGACCTGGACCTTTCATTGTAGCACTCACCGCTGCCCCTAGAACTTAAGCTTGAACTGGTTTGTGGATACTTTCACATTCTCTCTGCCAAGTTTGAATACATTATAGACGTTAGAGCAGGGAATACCAAATATATACTTATTGACTCTAATCATAGAAATAGCTTCAGTACCCTGCAGGGATGATGAGTCCAAGGTACTACTTACTGCTTTGTTCCTTCTGGTGTTTAATGTGTGACCGGTCTTAAGTGCACTAAGGAGACCTGTGGGTAATGAATGCTAGATCATGTCCTTTCTGAATAAGATTTTTATCTTGTTTAAACCTGATTGATAACAGAAATTAAATAACAATGATATAAACTACCACGCCTTCTATACAAAAGATGATAGGCAATTAGAACATCGTTATAAAAGGGGGTGCATTGTTTTTCTTCTCAATCGATATTATTTCTGTTGTTAACGACTTGTTCCATTTTTTTATATACATTTTTAAGTAGATGTCTGTGCTTGTCTGTATGTGGGTGTGCACATATGAGCCCAGGTGCCTTTGGAGGACAAAAGAATATTTCCTGTTCCCAGAAACTGGAACTACAACTGGTTGTGAGCTCTCCAGTGTGAGTGCTAAATTTTCTGCAACAATAATACATACTTTTGAATCTTGAACCATCTCTCTAACCCAGATTGTGGTTATTTTCAGTTTTTATCTTGGGACCTGTGTGTGTGGAAGATAGTGTATGTGTGTGTGTGTGTGTGTGTGTGTGTGTGTGTGTGTAATATGTATAGAAGTCAGAGGACAACTTTCAGAATTTAATTCAATTGTGAGGATCTAACCCAGGTCATTAATGTTGTGTGGCAGATAATTGCCTACTGAGGCACTTTGCTGGCCTCAA